ACTACAGAGGGTAGTGTGTACGGCCCAGTACATCACTGGGGCCAAGCTTCGTGCCATCCAGGACCTCTATACCAGGCGGTGTCAGAGGAAGGCCCTCAAAATTGTCAAAGACTCCAGCCACCCTAGTCATAGACTGTTCTCTCTGCTACCGCATGGCAAGCGGTACCGGAGTGCCAAGTCTAGGTCCAAAAGACTTCTCAACAGCTTCTACCCCCAAGCCATAAGACTCCTAAACAGCTAATCATGGCTACCCGGACTATTTGCACTGCCCCCCCCACCCATCTTTTTACGCTGCTGCTACTCTGTTAATTACTTATGCATAGTCACTTTAACTCTACCCACATGTACATATTACCTCAACTACCTCAACTAGCCGGTGCCCCTGCACATTGACTCTGCACCAGTACCCCCCTGTATATATAGCCTCCCTACTGTTATTTAATTTTAGATCTGCTCTTTATTTCTCAACACTTTAATTTTTTTTATTCTACATTTTTATTAAAAATAAATGCACTGTTGGTTAAGGGCTGTAAGTAAGCATTTCACTGTAATGTCTGCACCTGTTGTAATCGGCGCATGTGGCCAATAAAATTTGATTGGATTTGATTTGATTTAATAGAATAGAACGTAACATCATGTATTCTCATTACTGTTATGAAAATAGGAATTGACCTGCAACTATGCTCAGCCTCTTCTCCGCTTCAGGACCTCCACTTACACCAGACATGGGAATCCAATGGGCGATAGTAGTGAATTAATCTTTAGTCACCTTCTTGTCACATCGCATGATATTCTGCCCTGCGCTACGCAATACTACAGAACTATCATACTCTGGCCTGCGCTACACAATACTACAGAACTATCATACTCTGGCCTGCGCTACGCAATGCTACATAGCTATCATACTCTGGCCTGCGCTACGCAATAATACAGAACTATGATATTCTGCCCTGCGCTATGCAATACTACAGAACTATGATACTCTGGCCTGCGCTACACAATACTACATAACTATCATACTCTGGCCTGCGCTACGCAATACTACACAACTATGATACTCTGCCCTGCGCTACGCAATACTACACAACTATGATACTCTGGCCTGCGCTACACAATACTACATAACTATCATACTCTGGCCTGCGCTACGCAATACTACAGAACTATGATACTCTGGCCTGCGCTACACAATACTACATAACTATCATACTCTGGCCTGCGCTACGCAATACTACAGAACTATCATACTCTGGCCTGCGCTACACAATACTACAGAACTATGATACTCTGCCCTGCGCTACGCAATACTACATAGCTATCATACTCTGGCCTGCGCTACGCAATGCTACATAGCTATCATACTCTGGCCTGCGCTACGCAATACTACACAACTATGATACTCTGCCCTGCGCTACGCAATACTACACAACTATGATACTCTGGCCTGCGCTACACAATACTACATAACTATCATACTCTGGCCTGCGCTACGCAATACTACATAACTATGATACTCTGGCCTGCGCTACACAATACTACATAACTATCATACTCTGGCCTGCGCTACGCAATACTACAGAACTATCATACTCTGGCCTGCGCTACGCAATACTACAGAACTATGATACTCTGGCCTGCGCTACGCAATACTACATAACTATGATATTCTGCCCTGCGCTACACAATACTACATAACTATGATACTCTGGCCTGCGCTACGCAATAATACAGAACTATGATATTCTGCCCTGCGCTACGCAATACTACATAACTATGATACTCTGGCCTGCGCTACGCAATACTACAGAACTATGATACTCTGGCCTGCGCTACACAATACTACATAACTATCATACTCTGGCCTGCGCTACGCAATACTACAGAACTATGATATTCTGCCCTGCGCTACGCAATACTACAGAACTATGATACTCTGGCCTGCGCTACGCAATACTACAGAACTATGATACTCTGGCCTGCGCTACGCATTAATACACAAGTATGTGCTCACCTTATTTCCTCTGAACCCAACCCAACCCTCGAGGTCATTTACAGAGGGAAAGAACAAAGAAATCAGGATATGACGTAACAGATGAGAGGGATGTAATGACATGTAGAAATGTAATGTATTTATGTCCTGTACCATTGAACCTTCATGAATGAACCCTGTCTGTCTGTCGGTCTGTGTATTTGGGTGATGTGCCAAATAAAGAACCAGCACAACTCATTATTTATTCTACCAGTACTTTATTTAGCATGTGACAGGGGCTGTGGTACAGGCACCATTTGGGTCAAGTAAAACAGCAGTCAGCTAAAAACAATGTTGAACAAAGAGTGATCAACATCTAGATGAACATGTACCGGCATTATGAGCCAGTACCCAGACAAGAGTACAGAGACAAGATCAAACACTAGCAGGAGATGGAGCCTCCAACTCAAGGAGGCAGGAGTCTAACAGGTACTCAAAAGGTCCAGCTGTGAGGGTTAAGGCCAACTGAAAACCTACCCTGGGTTAAGGCCAACTGAAAACCTACCCTGGGTTAATGCCAACTGGAAACCTACCCTGGGTTAAGGCCAACTGAAAACCTACCCTGGGTTAAGGCCAACTGAAAACCTACCCTGGGTTAAGGCCAACTGAAAACCTACCCTGGGTTAAGGCCAACTGAAAACCTACCCTGGGTTAAGGCCAACTGAAAACCTACCCTGGGTTAATGCCAACTGGAAACCTACCCTGGGTTAAGGCCAACTGAAAACCTACCCTGGGTTAAGGCCAACTGAAAACCTACCCTGGGTTAACGTCAACTGGAAACCTACCCTGGGTTAAGGCCAACTGAAAACCTACCCTGGGTTAAGGCCAACTGAAAACCTACCCTGGGTTAAGGCCAACTGGAAACCTACCCTGGGTTAAGGCCAACTGAAAACCTACCCTGGGTTAAGGCCAACTGAAAACCTACCCTGGGTTAACGTCAACTGGAAACCTACCCTGGGTTAAGGCCAACTGAAAACCTACCCTGGGTTAAGGCCAACTGAAAACCTACCCTGGGTTAAGGCCAACTGAAAACCTACCCTGGGTTAAGGCCAACTGGTATAAAAACTAAGGCAGCAGAACACGAATAGAAGAGGAAGACCAACAAATATGACATTTAGAAAATGTTAGTTTAGAGATTCAATGAAGGTGAACATTATATCCAACTGACTACATAAACAAGAAGATATCCAGGTCCAGGTCCTTCAGAAAGTATTCACACCCCTTCACTTATTCCACATTTCATTGTGTTACAAAGTGGGATTAAAATGGATGTAATTGTAATTTTTTGGTCAACGATCTACACAAAATACATTTGTAAAACATTTATGAAAAATGAAACACTAACATACAGTATCTTGATTCGATAAGTATTTTACTGTAACTAGGCCACTCAGGAACATTCAATGTCATCTTGGTAAGCAACTCGTGTGTTTTAGGTTATTGTCCTGCTGAAAGGTGAATTTGTCTCCCAGTGTCTGTTGGAAAGCAGACTGAAGCAGGTTTTCCTTTAGGATTTTGCCTGAGCTTAGCTCTATTCGTTTCTTTTTATCATAAAAATACTCCCTAGTCCTTGCCTATGACAAGCATACCATAATATGACGCAGCCACCACCATGCTTGACAATATGGAAAGTGATGTGTTGGATTTGCCCCAAACATAACACTTTGTATTCAGGACAAAGTACATTTCTTTACCGTAGTTTTACTTTAGTTTCTTATTGCAAACAGGATGCATGTTCTGGAATATTTTTATTCTATACAGGCTTCCTTTTAACTGTCATTTAGGTTAGTATTGTGGAGTAACTACAATGTTGTTGATCCATCCTCAGTTTCACCTATCACAGCCATTAAACTCTAACTGTTTTTAAGTCATTGTCCTCATGGTGAAATCCCATGAGTGGTTTCCTTCCTCTCCAGCAACTGCGTTAGGAAGGACGCCTGTATCTTTGTAGTGACTGGGTGTATTGATACACCATCCAAATTTTAATAACTTCACAATGCTCAAAGGGATATTCAACGTCTGCTTTTAGAACCTTTTACCCATCTACCAATAGGTGCCCTTCTTTGTGAGGCATTGGAAAACCTCCCTGGTCTTTGTGGTTGAATCAGTGTTATTCACTGCGCGACCTTAAAGATAATGGTATGTGTGGGGTAGAGAGATGAGGTAGTCATTCAAGAATCATTATTGCACACCGAGTCCATGCAACTTAATCACATTTTTACTGATGAATTCCTAGGCTTGCCATAAGAAAGGGGTTGAATACTTGACTCAAGACATTTCAGCTTTTCATTTAAAGAATTTGTTTTTTTTAAAAATAATCCACTTTGACAAAAATGGGGTATTGTGTGTAGGCCAGTGACAAAATCTCAATTCAAATCAATTTTAAATTCAGGCTGTAACAACTAAATGTGGATAAGTCAAAGGGTGTGAATACTTTAAGTCCCAGGTTGGCTGTGTGGAGATATGGCAGAACAACACATTTAATTATTTCTTAGTCATACAGTGAGGGCTCAGAAATATGGCCACCCCTGCATCTATGAAATCCTGCATCTATGAAATAATTGTATTCATCTTTAATTTGTCAAAGTGTCCACACGTGAAAAAAGGCTCATCTCCATATACCTGGCAAGGCCATTTTTATTTTGCGGTTTTAATTCTCTAAACATTTTATCTTCACAAATACAGCGATTGCAAATAGAAAAAAATATGTATTTGTAAACCATGCTTGTCAATAAATTGGTGCTTCAGTGTAGTAATCTTTACAGGATAAACATACTATACAAGAATTGCATAGTTGATGCACTCTGCCAACAATGTGAGAATGTTTCCCACCGTAACAGAATTGTGTTGTAGTCTTTGGGTGGGTAGAGGCTCACTAATACAGAGAACCAACTATTGGTAAGATGGAGAGTTGAGAGGAGTGGGGGAGTGAAACTAACTAAACTGAATCAGTCAAACTAAGTTTCCCTCTTCATTTGAGAAAAGCATCAAGCTTTTTCTGGATATTGTCAAATGAGTCCATTCCCATGTAGTCCGCCTGGCCCTGTTCCCATTTCTGCTTGCGTTCCTCGGATGCCTCTGGTGACACGTACGGCTCAGTGTGATGGGGGTCCTGTGACGCGCTGCTTCCCTGGAGGAGGACAATAAAAACAAGAATATTAGACGGGACAGATTTGATGAATTCTGGGAAAAGCCACAACATTTACATTTACATTTAAGTTATTTAGCAGACGCTATTATCCAGAGCGACTTACAGTTAGTGAATACACATATATATTTTTTTATACTGGCCCCCCGTGGGAATCGAACCCACAACCCTGGCGTTGCAAACACCATGCTCTATCAACTGAGCTACATCCCTGCCGGCCATTCCCTCCCCTACCCTGGACGACGCTGGGCCAATTGTGCGCCGCCCATGAGTCTCCCGGTCGCGGCCGGCTGCGACAGAGCCTGGATTCGAACCAGGTTCTCTAGTGACACAGTTAGCACTGCGATGCAGTGCCTTAGACCACTGCGCCACAAGACTAAGAGCTCTGGAGAAACACTTGTTCCTTTGCAGTCAGTGCAGCTACAGAACAGTAGTCCAACCTGGCATTCAGATTAAGACATTGGCACTACTCCAAACCATCCAGCTACTGTATATCACCAGAGAACACACAGCTATAGTATTAGCTAAGCCAGGTTTGTTGTTCAACAGATTGTCCACAAGAAGCAGCAATAGTTTAGTGACCAGTGACAAGGTGTTGTCTGTTAAGCCAGCATCACAACCGACTAGTCTTCAGCGTACCTTCCATTCACCTTCCTTGTGACTATAGATCTGTGACCATAGCCCATGCCAGTGACCATTGCGGTCACGACTTTCTTTGACAGAGGACTGGAACTTTATCAGACGAGAGGAGGGTTAGACATCAGCCTTCAGGACTGAAGTATCACTACATTTTACAAATGGACTAATCATAATTTATATCGTTTAAGTCAGGAGGTGGCGGTCTAGCATGACTTTTACTAACAATAAGCATCCAAGTAAATCGCTTAATAATTCAAACTGTTTTGATAATAGTTCTGTAGAGGAAGGACAAAGGCTAATACTTCTAGACTGACTTCCACACAGCCAGAGTGGAAGGGCTGGTCTCCGTATCCCTCCGTCATCATGGGCACCACAGAAGAAGAGTAGAGCATCCACCAGTCCAGGAGGAAGGTGGGGTGTGTGGAGGCCTCCTGCATGTCCCCGCTGATCCGCTTGGTCTCCGGGTCGTACGTGTAACTCCACGGCTTGGTCTGACCCAGGAAGTGGACCACCTTGGCGTTGCCACCGTATCTGGAACAGAATACATGTTCATTTACTTAGATCTTGTAGTTAAAAGATTGTTGTAAATGCTGTGGTTTGACAAGTTTGAACGCGAAGAGAGCGCACAAGGAAAGTGAAGAGCAAAGGGGTGAAAAGCACGAGCGAGAGGTGAAGAGAGCAAGCCCGACCGGTAGAGAGAGAGGGAGAGAGCGAGAGAGGGAGCGAGAGAGAGAGGGAGGGAGGGAGCGAGAGAGGGAGCGAGAGAGAGAGGGAGGGAGGGAGGGAGCGAGAGAGGGAGGGAGCGAGAGATGGAGCGAGAGATGCCACTGTGACCAGCAGAGGTCCTGTCCACAGGTATAAACGTCTTTAAACAAAGGGCTCCAAATTCGTCTCGGCTCTGTGGAGCTCCAGCTGGATATCTAACCCTACGAGGCCTAGGGGATGGCTGAGGGAGGCACGAGGCCTAGGGGATGGCTGAGGGAGGCACGAGGCCTAGGGGATGGCTGAGGGAGGCACGAGGCCTAGGGGATGGCTGAGGGAGGCACGAGGCCTAGGGGATGGCTGAGGGAGGCACGAGGCCTAGGGGATGGCTGAGGGAGGCACGAGGCCTAGGGGATGGCTGAGGGAGGCACGAGGCCTAGGGGATGGCTGAGGGAGGCACGAGGCCTAGGGGATGGCTGAGGGAGGCACGAGGCCTAGGGGATGGCTGAGGGAGGCACGAGGCCTAGGGGATGGCTGAGGGAGGCACGAGGCCTAGGGGATGGCTGAGGGAGGCTTTTAGACCAACTACTGTTGCCCCCTAAACTCACTGGTAACCTGATGTCATGGCATAAGCACAGTCATGTGACTGTATCGCCTTACACCTCCCGTTCTCACAGCCCAAGAATACTTTCCCTAGATTTATCTGTTGTTCCATGTAGTGAATCTGTTATTCAATGTGTTTGTATGGGCTAATAGCAGTAAGGACTATCTGTTGTTCCATGTAGTGAATCTGTTATTCAATGTGTTTGTATGGGGCTAATAGCAGTAAGGACTATCTGTTGTTCCATGTAGTGAATCTGTTATTCAATGTGTTTGTATGGGGCTAATAGCACTAAGGACTATCTGTTATTCAATGTGTTTGTATGGGCTAATAGCAGTAAGGACTATCTGTTGTTCCATGTAGTGAATCTGTTATTCAATGTGTTTGTATGGGCTAATAGCAGTAAGGACTATCTGTTGTTCCATGTAGTGAATCTGTTATTCAATGTGTTTGTATGGGCTAATAGCAGTAAGGACTATCTGTTGTTCCATGTAGTGAATCTGTTATTCAATGTGTTTGTATGGGCTAATAGCAGTAAGGACTATCTGTTGTTCCATGTAGTGAATCTGTTATTCAATGCGTTTGTATGGGCTAATAGCAGTAAAGCCAAAATACAATTTTTCATCAAAAAACATAATATATTTTGATACTTCAAGGGGTCATAAATTCAAAATCAAATAGCTAAATGATCCTTGGTACGATCTTCTTAAAACAATTGCATATAGCTTAGTAGAACCGGCTTAAACTCTTATGGGTCGTTAATGTTTGGCAGATCAGGGAATTATAAAAAACACCTCAGAGATTTAAGTTTGTGATTTAGCTGAATGTTTCTCAATGTAAGAAATACAGACATCTCCAGATAGCAGTTACGGCCAAAACCAACACCTAGATCTACACACGGTTCTCCATCACATGAGTACGTACTGTTTGAATGCTGGAAGGTAGGTGTAGATTGAGTACTTACTGTTTGAATGCTGGAAGGTAGGTGTAGATTGAGTACTTACTGTTTGAATGCCGGAAGGTAGGTGTAGATTGAGTACGTACTGTTTGAATGCCGGAAGGTAGGTGTAGATTGAGTACGTACTGTTTGAATGCTGGAAGGTAGGTGTAGATTGAGTACGTACTGTTTGAATGCCGGAAGGTAGGTGTAGATTGAGTACGTACTGTTTGAATGCTGGAAGGTAGGTGTAGATTGAGTACGTACTGTTTGAATGCTGGAAGGTAGGTGTAGATTGAGTACGTACTGTTTGAATGCTGGAAGGTAGGTGTAGATTGAGTACGTACTGTTTGAATGCTGGAAGGTAGGTGTAGATTGCGATGCTGCTGAGGTTGTAGATGAAAGGGAGGTGCTTTGATATATCTGCGGTTGCCCAGTTACTGAAGTAGCCATTCAAGATCCCCTGGTCCCCACCTAGAGAGAGGAAAAACAACAGTTAGCAACAAGCGTGAAAAACAGGGAGCACACTATATTTAGCCCCAACCCATACCAATGCTTAGGGGTGGTTCAAAACAAAAAAGGAAGCAGTCTAGTTCAAGACTTCATCCACCTACAAGTAAGTCATTTATCATGAGCTTGGTACATTTAGTAATATGAATCGACCAGACAGTGAGGCCAACACTAAGCCCTCCACAGTAGGACCAAAAGTTATTTTAAAACAGATGTTGTGAAACAGAAATCAATCTTGATAATATCCTCTTCAGTATGATTGAAAGGGGGGGATATTACTGGAAACAGAAGTTACCACATGGAAAATATGAAATAAGATAAGATGTTTTACAGATTTATCCTCACCATTGTTTAATATGGTTTTCAGCATCACTTATTTTACTGTCAATATGTATTGGTTTTCTATGTTTCGTTGTCAAACCCAGGCAGTTGTAAAAGTCTAAATTGGACGAGTTGCAGAGGTAATTAAAAATAATGCCATTGTTGAATAAATGCTTTTTCATTAGACAATTTTCTCTTGAACCACATGGTCTATCTACGAGAAACTCATGGAGACAAAATAATACTATATGAATAAATATTGATTTACAAAGTTAAAGTATAAATTACATATTAGATATATTTTCTGTTAATTATAAAAATGTACTGAATATTACAATCACTATACTTGTACTATACTTTGTGGAGTGTTTTCCAACCACTCCACAAATTTCTTGTTAACAAACTATAGTTTTGGCAAGTCGATTAGGACATCTACTTTGTGCATGACACAACTACTTTTTCCAACAATTGTTTACAGACAGATTATTTCACTTATAATTTACTGTATCACAATTCCAGTGGGTCAGAAGTTTTCATACACTAAGTTGACAGTGCCTTTAAACATCTTGGAAAATTCCAGAACATGATGTCATGGCTTTAGAAGCTTCTGATAGGCTAATTGACATACTTTGAGTCAATTGAAGGTGTAACTGTGGATGTATTTCAAGTCCTACCTTCAAACTCAGTGCCTCTTTGCTTGACATCATGGGAAAATCAAAAGAAATCAGCCAAGACCTCAGAATTTTCCACAAGTCTGGTTCATCCTTGGGAGCAATTTCCAAACGCCTGAAGGTACCACGTTCATCTGTACAAACAATAGTACGCAAGTATAAACACCATGCAGCCCACATACCGCTGAGGAAGGAGACGCGTTCTGTCTCCTAGAGATGAACGTACTTTGGTGTGAAAAGTGCAAATCAACCACAGAACAGCAGCAATGGACCTTGTGACGATTCTGGAGGAAACGGGTACAAAAGTATCTATATCCACAGTAAAACAAGTTCTATATCGACATAACCTGAAAGGCCGCTCAGCAAGGAACAAGCCACTGCTCCAAAACCGCCATAAAAAAGCCAGACTACGGTTTGCAGATGGTACTTTGAGAAATGTTGAGAAATGTCCTCTGGTCTGATGAAACAAAAATAGAACTGTTTGGCCATAATGACCATTGTTATGTTTGGAGGAAAAAGGGGGTAGCTTGCAAGCTGATGAACACCATCCCAACCGTGAAGCACGGGGATGGCAGCATCATGCTGTGGGGGTGCTTTGCTGCAGGAGGGACTGGTGCACTTCACAAAATAGATGGCATCATGAGGAAGGAGAATTATGTGGATATATTGAAGCAACAGCTCAAGACATCAGTCAGGAAGTTAAAGCTTGGTGGCAAATGGGTCTTCCAAATGGACAATGACCTCAAGCATACTTCCAAAGCTGTGGCAAAATGGCTTAAGGACAACAAAGTCAAGGTATTGGAGTGGCCATCACAAAGCCCTGACCTCAATCCTATAGAACATTTGTGGGCAGAACTGAAAAAGCGTGTGCGAGCAAGGAAGCCTACAAACCTGACTCAGTTACACCAGCTCTGTCAGGAGGAATGGGCCAAAATTCACCCAACTTATTGTGGTAAGCTTGTGGAAGGCTAACTGAAACGTTTGACCCAAGTTAAACAATTTAAAGGCAATGCTACCAAATACTAATTGAGTGTATGTAAACTTCTGACCCACTGGGAATGTGATGAAAGAAATAAAAGCTGAAATAAATAAATTCTCTACTATTATTCTGACATTTCACATTCTTAAAATAAAGTGGTGATCCTAACTGACCTAAGACAGGGAATTTTTACTAGGATTAAATGTCAGGAATTGTGAAAAAAATGAGTTGAAATGTATTTGGCTAAGGTGTATGTAAACTTCAGACTTCAACTGTATGAATGATGTGGTTGTCTCACCTAGCTACCTTAAGATGGATGCACTAAGTAAGTCGCTCTGTATAAGAGTGTCTGCTAAATGACAATGTAATCTAACAACTGGAGAGATGGTAATGATTTCTGGTTGTCTGAATAGATCTACTTCAGAGGGAGCGAAGTGAGCACTAAGCCTGCTGTAGATTTAACCGGTAACAGGTGCATGATGTATGGTTCATTTATCCAACTATACGCCTGTAAAGCTATTAGGCTTTCTGCCAACGCCACCACGGCCTCTTAAACCTTGTTCACACTGCAGGCCTTGATGCTCAAATTAGTTTTTGTTTTTCAAATTCCGTTTTGGAATACTGACTGTCCAAACAGAAAGTTAAAAGTGATGAGTGTGTGTTCAGTCAGTGTTTGTGTGTCACTTGCTGACAAGGCTAAGCTAGTTGTCATAGTAACAATACGTGTGCGATGGAATCTGACTTCAAACCACCTATGAAGGTGGTTTAAAAATGTGGCTTGAAATATCAGATTCCATGTGCTTTTTGGCTGTTCAGACTGCAGGATAAAAGAACAGATTCGAAATTGGATTGACGCTACAAGCTTGGCACACCTGCTGTATTTGGGGAGTTTCTCCCATTCTTCTCTGCAGATCCTCTCAAGCTCTGTCAGGTTGGATGAGGAACATCGCTGCACAGCTATTTTCAGGTCTCTCCAGAGATGTTAGAACGGGTTCAAGTCCGGGCTCTGGCTGGGCCACTCAAGGACATTCAGAGACTTGTCCCGAAGCTACTCCTGCGTTGTCTTGGCTGTGTGCTTAGGGTTGTTGTCCTGTTGGAAGGTGAACCTTCGCCCCAGTCTGAGGTCCTGAGCGCTCTGGAGCAGGTTTTCATCAAGGATCTCTCTGTACTTTGCTCCGTTCATCTTTGCCTCAATCCTGACTAGTCTCCCGGCCCCTGCCGCTGAAAAACATCCCCACAGCATGATGCTGCCACCACCATGCTTCACCGTAGGGATGGTGCCAGGTTTCCTCCAGACGTGACACTTGTCATTCAGGCCAAAGAGTTCAATCTTGGTTTCATCAGACCAGAGAATCTTGTTTCTCACGGTCTGAGAGTCTTTAGGTGCCTTTTGGCAAACTCCAAGCGGGCTGTCATGTGCCTTTTACTGAGGAGTGACTTCCGTCTGGCCACTCTACCATAAAGGCCTGATTGGTGGAGTGCTGCAGAGATGGTTGTCCTTCTGGAAGGTTCTCCCATCTCCACAGAGGAACTCTACAGCTCTGTCAGCGTGACCATTGGGTTCTTGATCACCTCCCTGACCAAGTCCCTTCTCCCTCGATTGCTGTTTGCCGGGCAGACACCTCTACGAAGAGTCTTGTTGGTTCCAAACTTCTTCCATTTAAGAATGATGGAGGCCACTGTGTTCTTGCGGACCTTCAACGCTGCAGACATGGCTGTCGAATAGCCGTATGTATCAGAGATTGTACCGTTAAGAGATGGCCATGCGCTGACGTGTGAAAGGCAAGGTGGTGGCGGGTTGCATAGAGTAACATAGTCCAGGTCATGAATGTAAAGATGACTGGAGTCAGGTGGATTTAAACCCCAGTCACAGACTGAAACCCTCTAATAGAACTACTATTCTTAGCAGGAAAATGTATAAATCACTGCTCTTTTAACTCAACACTGATCTAAACATCCAGCCACTACACATAACCTAAACATCCAGCCACTATACATAACCTACACATCCAGCCACTACATAACCTACACATCCAGCCACTACACATCCAGCCACTATACATAACCTACACATCCAGCCACTATACATAACCTACACATCCAGCCACTACACATAACCTACACATCCAGCCACTACACATCCAGCCACTATACATAACCTACACATCCAGCCACTACATAACCTACACATCCAGCCACTACACATAACCTACACATCCAGCCACTACACATAACCTACACATCCAGCCACTACACATCCAGCCATTATACATAACCTACACATCCAGCCATTATACATAACCTATACATCCAGCCACTACACATCCAGCCACTATACATGAGAGTACACTGGTTGGGTCCAGCTAGGCGCCAGCTGAACTGAAGCATGCGGATGCGTTGCACCATCCAGAGATATAAATAGTAAATGGTCTGGCCTGGCAGAGAGTGGCCATCGCTATATGACTAAGTCACTATATATTAGCTGTACATGCAGTGACCATCCAGAGATGTATTTATAGGAAGAGGTCTGGGTGGCCTGGCAGAGTGGCTGGGTGGCCTGGCAGAGTGGCTGTCAGTTCCAGAATGCAGTGTGGAAAAGACACAATGTACAGAACATAGAGGAGTACAGTCACAGAACATAGAGGAGTACAGTCACACTCCAAAAGAGACCCCTGCACTCCTCTGGCAGCTAGACGTCACGGTGGTCTGGCAGCTAGACGTCACGGTGGTCTGGCAGCTAGACGTCACGGCGGTCTGGCAGCTAGACGTCACGGCGGTCTGGCAGCTAGACGTCACGGTGGTCTGGCAGCTAGACGTCACGGTGGTCTGGCAGCTAGACGTCATGGTGGTCTGGCAGCTAGACGTCATGTATTGTAGCTAAATGTCATGGTGGTCAGTTGGTATTGTTGAAGCAGAGTAAGGCATTGAAGCAGGGTGTAGAGCTGCAGTTCTGTTTAGGCTGTAGGTTACTATAGTAGTATTATCCATATATAGACACACTGAACAAAAATATAAAACATGCAACAATAAACAATTTTACAGAGTTAGTTTATATAAGGATATCAGTCAATTGAAATAAATGAATTAGGCCCTAATATATGGGTGCAGCCATGGGTGAGCCAGGCCCAGCCAATCAGAATGAGTTTTTCCCCACAAAATGACAGGCAGAAATACTCCAGTTTCATCAGCTGTCTGGTCTCAGATGATCCCGCAGGTGAAAAAGCCGGATGTGGAGGTCCTGGGCTGGCGTGGTTACACGTGGTCTGCGGTTGTGAGGCCGGTTGTACGTACTGCCAAATTCTCTAAAATGACATTGGAGGCGGCTTATGGTAGAGAAATTAACATTAAATGATCTGGCAACAGCTCTGGTGGACAATCCTGCAGTCAGCATGTCAATTGCAAGCTCCCTCAAAACTTGAGACATCTGTGGCATTGTGTTGTGCACATTTTAGAGTGGCCTTTTCTTGTTCCCCAGCACAAGGTGCACCTGTGTAATGATCATGCTGTTTTAATCAGCTTCTTGATATGCCACACCTGTCAGGTGGATGGATTATCTCGGCAAAGGAGAAATGCTCACTAACAGGGATGTAAAACAAACGTGCATATGGAACATGTCTGGGATCTTATTTCAGCGCAACACTTTACGTGTTGCTTATATTTTTGTTGAGTGTAGATGTGGGAACGGCAGTGTAATGCATCCGTTCTGCTTTGGCGGTCTCTTGCATGGTTTGTCCTGATATCAGTAGAGATTGCCGCAGGGGGAAATGCCATGGCGGTCTATATAGAAGTGGGCGTGCCACTGTAACAGATATGTGCTTGACATCTGGGGTGTATTCATTAGTCGCGGACCGTTGAAAAGGTTGTTTGTTGCAAACCATTTAGCCTCAACTCTAGAAACCAAACAGAATGAAACGGAGTGGAACATACCTGCATTTGGCCAATATATTTTTAAAATTGTTTTTCCATCGCAAAACGTTATCCCTTTGGAGTAAAATGTCTGTTGCAAAACCTTTTGCAAAAGATGGAAAGTTTAGCAAAGGAATCCAAGCCCTACAGTCCACCCACCACACTATAGACTCCAAGCCCTACAGTCCATCGCACTACAACATAAGAAAGTCCTTTAAAGAAATGGCACACCAACAGCTGAGCAACCTTTTCTCAGAAGAGGCTCCACTTCTCTCACACACACTTGAGATTTCACAAGACACCAGTCAAACCATAAACACAAGGAGTGAATGTGCACTAGGTGGAGGAGCTGGACCACTCCTGTAACGTGGCTAGTCCATGTCCTGTCCACAGTACAGAATGGGAACACGAGGACCTTTATTCTATATGTAGGCTACGTGTTCTACAGCACAGAGCTTCCCCAGGCCCTATCCCACAGCCACAGGCCCTATCCCACAGCCCCTATACCCCAGCCAGCCATAGATACTCTCTTTGTGGCTTTCCTCTAGCAGAGCAGCTCCATAAAGTTAATATGGACCCAGGCCTCTTCATTTAGAGGGGATGAGCAGCCTCAGCAGTAATGAGGCACTCCCCCAGTATACCTAAACCCAACCACAGATTGGACCTGGACTGCATGCAGTAAGAAATAGGAAATTGAATAGAGGTGCCCCGGCCCATGACATGACAAGTCTAATCTCTCCTGAACCGTTAAAAATCACTCAGAACTGCCATTGCCCAATAGTTGGTTCTGTTGGTTAGCCAGCGCTATACATCGGGTTCAAAATTAGGCACAATAACGTTGGACCGGACTATGTTATATTCCAGTCGTAGTGGAGAACCGGAGCACAAACACTAAAAGGTCAGAGAGGAACTGCAAGTCACACAGTGCAACATGAAAAGACCGTCGCTGGCTAAAAATACTGCAGCTTTAGCTCATTAGCATACCCCACAACCTGCTCGCGTAACGCCGTGAACGTGTCATTCAACAGCACAGGGAATCAAAGGGGGTTTAGAAAACGGTCCGAGGAGCAAATCCTGCTTCAAATAACACAAATGTGATATGCAACAAGATAGCCTGTCATTAACTGATGACGTAACAGGCTTCTCCCACACAAGCTAGTGTGAGCTATGGAGACAAAAAGGAAATGGGGTCCAGGATTCTCCTGTGTGATACCAGACAGACACACTAGATTCCTGCCAACAGTCACTTCAGTCCGCCAGATTGGAGTCTGCTCTTGAAAGCATGTGGCACCATTAAGCAAACTAATTGGTGTCTCGAACTCTGGATGGAATAGTTGAGCCATATTAGAACGAGAGCTGCTTCACTGATTCGTCGGTCTGATGAGAGGGGGCACAGTTGCTAGCTTTACTGAGCTAGCCAGACTAACTGCAATATGTTATTGTGTTAAAAAAAAAAAGGGGTTATCAATGTATTGTTGATACATTATTGATATTATTACATACAGGAGGCAGTGTGTTTTGTTTGCAATGGGACCAAAAGTATATTTTTCCCCAAACTTAAAACTATAGCAAATTCAAACATGCGTTAAAATATTCAGTTTAAGTCTTCCTATTGTGGACAAGGACACGTTAATACCAGCAGGCTAGGTAAAATACACAATTCAATTAGAACGTGTCCCCTGATGATTGGGCAGTACAAACCAGAACTGCTTTCAATTCTGCCCTTCCTCATAAATAGTTACATTTAGCTCCTTTCCAACCAAGTGACTTTACAAACTGGGTCTCTATGCTTTTAAAAACCCCAATGTCTGCCATGAAAGAGCTCATTGTTCTCAGTCTAAACCTGCTGTGCTAAATTCACCATGATGTTCTTTGTGAATGCTCTGAAGTGCCATTAGAGAGCGAGGCACTGCCAGGATGCCGGCTCCATTATATAGTGGCCTGCCAACAGCTTGCCTGAAGACCCCACATCCAATTGCATAGAATTTTACGTCGGGCAGAAATTAGCATTTGGATAAGGAAAGTTTCCTCTCACGACCTCTACAAACCAGAATGCTGAATAAAATTATACATTACTGGCTGTCCGTGTGGTTGGTCCTTCTGCAGGTAGGAATGTGAGAAAATATCCACCGACTAGTGTCATCAACCCCACCTTCAGTATGCTGGTCTGTATAGCGTTTGGATTTCTAGTTTTTATTTTCTATACCGATTCAATTCGCACGTGACAAACACTTCCACAATATGGCCGAGCGGCAAACACTTCCAGCTGATTGCAGGGAAACCTGCATCGGTCGACTACATTCGGCTATTGTTTACATATTGTGCGTCACTTGCAACGAGTCAACATATTGAAAAGCCAAGCAACCTTCCGACGCCACAGAAAGTCAGGTCAACACTTTCCTCTGGATCCCATCTCCAGCAGAACAGCAACCAGTAAAGTGTCAATATGATTGTTCTCAACATTCTGCCTTGTAAATGGCACCCTATTCACTAGTGTTCTCAACATTCTGCCTTGTAAATGGCACCCTATTCACTAGTGTTCTCAACATTCTGCCTTGTAAATGGCACCCTATTCACTAGGGCACTACTTTTGACCAGGGCCTGGTCGAAAGTAGTGCCCTATAAGGAACATGGTGCCATTTCAGACTGGGGCTGCTATTCACCAGGGGACTCATGGGATGAGCAGGGTTAATGTCAGCCAGTGCCAGTCGCAAAATGGCGCTTCTCAAATTCACCCCACCCTGTAGAGCCCCTCAGAATAACTCACAGGGTTAGAGAGAGGCTGTTTTGTGACAGGAGGATCCTGTGTTCAGCCTTTAGGCTTGATAAAGACCTTACTTAGAGGAAAAGTCACCCCCCCTCCCGTACCCCATAAAAACACCTCAGAATAACTCTGGGTTAGAGAGAGGCTGTCTTGTGACAGGAGGACCCTGTGTTCAGCCTTTAGGCTTAATAAAGACATGTTTGACATATGTAGATCGAGCTAGTTAAAAACGGTTCAACCGCAAACACTAGAAATGGACAGCAGACTGCTAGCGTCCAACCTAAAGAACAGCAGACTGCCAGAGGCCAGCCACCCTACCCAACAGCAGACTGCTAGAGGCCAGCCACCCTACCCAACAGCCAGAGGCCAGCCACCCTACCCAACAGCAGACTGCTAGAGGCCAGCCACCCTACCCAACAGCCAGAGGCCAGCCACCCTACCCAACAGCAGACTGCTAGAGGCCAGCCACCCTACCCAACAGCCAGAGGCCAGCCACCCTACCCAACAGCAGACTGCTAGAGGCCAGCCACCCTACCCAACAGCCAGAGGCCAGCCACCCTACCCAACAGCAGACTGCTAGAGGCCAGCCACCCTACCCAACAGCCAGAGGCCAGCCACCCTACCCAACAGCAGACTGCCAGAGGCCAGCCACCCTACCCAACAGCCAGAGGCCAGCCACCCTACCCAACAGCAGACTGCTAGAGGCCAGCCACCCTACCCAACAGCAGACTGCTAGAGGCCAGCCACCCTACCCAACAGCCAGAGGCCAGCCACCCTACCCAACAGCAGACTGCCAGAGGCTAGCCACCCTACCCAACAGCAGACAGCAGAGGCCAGCCACCCTACCCAACAGCCAGAGGCCAGCCACCCTACCCAACAGCCAGAGGCCAGCCACCCTACCCAACAGCAGACTGCCAGAGGCCAGCCACCCTACCCAACAGCTAGAGGCCAGCCACCCTACCCAACAGCAGACTGTAGAGGCCAGCCACCCTACCCAACAGCAGACTGCCTAGAGGCCAGCCACCCTACCCAACAGCCAGAGGCCAGCCACCCTACCCAACAGCAGACTGCCAGAGGCCAGCCACCCTACCCAACAGCCAGAGGCCAGCCACCCTACCCAACAGCAGACTGCCAGAGGCCAGCCACCCTACCCAACAGCTAGAGGCCAGCCACCCTACCCAACAGCAGACTGCTAGAGGCCAGCCACCCTACCCAACAGCAGACTGCTAGAGGCCAGCCACCCTACCCAACAGCCAGAGGCCAGCCACCCTACCCAACAGCAGACTGCCAGAGGCCAGCCACCCTACCCAACAGCAGACTGCTAGAGGCCAGCCACCCTACCCAACAGCAGACAGCCAGAGGCCAGCCACCCTACCCAACAGCTAGAGGCCAGCCACCCTACCCAACAGCAGACTGCTAGAGGCCAGCCACCCTACCCAACAGCAGACTGCTAGAGGCCAGCCACCCTACCCAACAGCAGACTGCCAGAGGCCAGCCACCCTACCCAACAGCTAGAGGCCAGCCACCCTACCCAACAGCAGACTGCTAGAGGCCAGCCACCCTAGCCAACAGCAGACTGCTAGAGGCCAGCCACCCTAGCCAACAGCAGACTGCTAGAGGCCAGCCACCCTACCCAACAGCAGACTGCCAGAAGCCAGCCACCCTACCCAACAGCTAGAGGCCAGCCACCCTACCCAACAGCAGACTGCCAGAAGCCAGCCACCCTACCCAACAGCAGACTGCTAGAGGCCAGCCACCCTACCCAACAGCCAGAGGCCAGCCACCCTACCCAACAGCAGACTGCCAGAGGCCAGCCACCCTACCCAACAGCAGACTGCTAGAGGCCAGCCACCCTACCCAACAGCAGACAGCCAGAGGCCAGCCACCCTACCCAACAGCTAGAGGCCAGCCACCCTACCCAACAGCAGACTGCTAGAGGCCAGCCACCCTACCCAACAGCAGACTGCTAGAGGCCAGCCACCCTACCCAACAGCAGACTGCCAGAAGCCAGCCACCCTACCCAACAGCTAGAGGCCAGCCACCCTACCCAACAGCAGACTGCCAGAGGCCAGCCACCCTACCCAACAGCAGACTGCCAGAGGCCAGCCACCCTACCCAACAGCAGACTGCCAGAGGCCAGCCACCCTACCCAACAGCAGACTGCCAGAGGCCAGCCACCCTACCCAACAGCAGACTGCTAGAGGCCAGCCACCCTACCCAACAGCAGACTGCCAGAGGCCAGCCACCCTACCCAACAGCAGACAGCCAGAGGCCAGCCACCCTACCCAACAGCTAGAGGCCAGCCACCCTACCCAACAGCAGACTGCTAGAGGCCAGCCACCCTACCCAACAGCAGACAGCCAGAGGCCAGCCACCCTACCCAACAGCTAGAGGCCAGCCACCCTACCCAACAGCAGACTGCCAGAAGCCAGCCACCCTACCCAACAGCAGACTGCCAGAGGCCAGCCACCCTACCCAACAGCCAGAGGCCAGCCACCCTACCCAACAGCAGACTGCCAGAGGCCAGCCACCCTACCCAACAGCAGACTGCTAGAGGCCAGCCACCCTACCCAACAGCAGACTGCCAGAGGCCAGCCACCCTACCCAACAGCAGACTGCCAGAAGCCAGCCACCCTACCCAACAGCAGACTGCCAGAGGCCAGCCACCCTACCCAACAGCAGACTGCCAGAGGCCAGCCACCCTACCCAACAGCAGACTGCCAGAGGCCAGCCACCCTACCCAACAGCTAGAGGCCAGCCACCCTACCCAACAGCCAGAGGCCAGCCACCCTACCCAACAGCCAGAGGCCAGCCACCCTACCCAACAGCAGACTGCTAGAGGCCAGCCACCCTACCCAACAGCAGACTGCTAGAGGCCAGCCACCCTACCCAACAGCCAGAGGCCAGCCACCCTACCCAACAGCAGACTGCCAGAGGCCAGCCACCCTACCCAACAGCCAGAGGCCAGCCACCCTACCCAACAGCCAGAGGCCAGCCAACCTACCCAACAGCCAGAGGCCAGCCACCCTACCCAACAGCCAGAGGCCAGCCACCCTACCCAACAGCTAGAGGCCAGCCACCCTACCCAACAGCCAGAGGCCAGCCACCCTACCCAACAGCAGACTGCTAGAGGCCAGCCACCCTACCCAACAGCAGACTGCTAGAGGCCAGCCACCCTACCCAACAGCCAGACTGCTAGAGGCCAGCCACCCTACCCAACAGCAGACTGCTAGAGGCCAGCCACCCTACCCAACAGCTAGAGGCCAGCCACCCTACCCAACAGCAGACTGCTAGAGGCCAGCCAACCTACCCAACAGCTAGAGGCCAGCCACCCTACCCAACAGCTAGAGGCCAGCCACCCTACCCAACAGCAGACAGCCAGAGGCCAGCCACCCTACCCAACAGCCAGAGGCCAGCCACCCTACCCAACAGCAGACTGCTAGAGGCCAGCCACCCTACCCAACAGCAGACTGCTAGAGGCCAGCCAACCTACCCAACAGCTAGAGGCCAGCCACCCAACAGAAAATACCACAGATATTTGGAATGCTGCACATATTGCCTCTACATTGTTGGAAAAGCACCACATTTTATAGCAGCAGAAACGATACTCCGATATGCTCCAATGCCAGTGGTTCCCTCTATCTAATGGGTACAATATGCTGCATCCACATACCACCCATTTAGAGAGGTCAGGTGAGGAATAAGGAAGGACCTGAAATATTCTTAAAACGTTTGTCTTCTTTTTTTAGTCAAAACAAAGTGATGCGTTGTGGGGCGGCAGCTTTAGTCAGCATCTGGAGAATCAGACCCGTGTATACATGATGTCACATTGTAGTATGGCTTCTTTTTTCACAATCATTACTTACATTCATTTTCTACTGTTTTCCACCTTGAACTTCAAAATAATAAAACAGAACACTGCACCCATTGCTCAGAGTAATGGATATAACATGCCTCGGTCACCAGGTCTTTTTTAAAGGTCACGACAAACCTGATGGAAACGGCTAATTTGTCAGTAAACTTTCCACATGTCGACAAAACAAAATACGCTAGATAAGGTGGGATCTTTGTGTCGGTAAAATTAATTAATTACGCAAGAAATGGCGGTGGAAACACCATGCACAAACATTGATATAATAACCATCACATGGAACTAAACTTGGGAGTCACACGATGACGTGGTCCTCCCACTACGACTCGGGAAAGCAGTTTACTAGGTCACAGATGAAAAGTTATAATGAACTTCAAAAAGGTGGTGAAAGTGCAAGGTGATTGGCTTGATGCTCCTTTCCAATAAATATCAAGGGTTTTATTTTGGTGACATGATGATCGATGCTCGACTGCTGTTTGACAAATAAAAAACTAAAGTCTCCATAATAATATCATCATGTAGGCTATACGCCATCTGCCAGCTGTTGGCCACATGCCACATGGGCACTTCAGTAAATAGACCACATACGTACCGTCGAAGCTGCCGTGTTCTGTGCAGTACTTGAGCAGCTTGCCGTACGTCTCGTTGGAGGGCCGGAACACGAACACGCCAGAGTTGAAACAGTCTGGCCAGCCGGGGTCCGGGGCCGCAGACAGCTCCTCTCTGTCAAACAACTCATCCACGTTCTGTACCACCTGCAACAAACACATACAGGTCAACTATACATTAGCTACCTGGATAACCAGGAGGACAGGAAAACATTTCCCATTGAAGATAATGTGGGTCAGAAGATGGTTGTCATCTATGAGATGGAAATTCAACGTGTGCAAATTGTGTAGACTGAGGGACATTTAGCCCAACCTTACGATTCCACACCTACAAAAGTTCTACATATACACATATCTCTCACCATTGTGTCTGCGTCCATGAAGACACATTTGGAGTAGTGTGTAAGAGTCCAGCAGTGTAGCTTGGTGAAGGTGACTCCCAGGTCCGGTCTCTTCATCAGGGCCAGGTGAGCTGCATCTCCACTGTCCAACACATCCACCAGCAGCACCTCGTCAAAGATCTTGTGAAGCACTCCTCTGGTAGGAGGAGAGAGAGGAGCAGACATAATGGACCCTGAATATGGTGTACAGTGGAAACCTTTCTGATTGGACAGCATTCTGACTAGTAGGGAGGAGTCAGGTTCAAAAGCTGCTGGTGGGGCCAGGGAATACCATTAAACACCTCTAGGTTACGGTGGGGCCAGGGAATACCATTAAACACCTCTAGGTTACGGTGGGGCCAGGGAATACCATTAAACACCTCTAGGTTACGGTGGGGCCAGGGAATACCATTAAACACCTCTAGGTTACGGTGGGGCCAGGGAATACCATTAAACACCTCTAGGTTACGGTGGGGCCAGGGAATACCATTAAACACCTCTAGGGTACGGTGGGGCCAGGGAATACCATTAAACACCTCTAGGGTACGGTGGGGCCAGGGAATACCATTAAACACCTCTAGGTTACGGTGGGGCCAGGGAATACCATTAAACACCTCTAGGTTACGGTGGGGCCAGGGAATACCATTAAACATCTCTAGGTTACAGTGGGGCCAGGGAATACCATTAAACACCTCTAGGTTACGGTGGGGCCAGGGAATACCATTAAACATCTCTAGGTTACAGTGGGGCCAGGGAATACCATTAAACACCTCTAGGTTACGGTGGGGCCAGGGCCAGAATTCTGGGTGTTGGAGATCAAGGGCATGTTTGATTAAGCCCCGGAACAATACCGCCAACAGGTCTAGGATCAGTTCTTCCAACTCCACTGTTAAAAGGTCATAGGTTACACTACCCAGTCGAGGGCATCATAAAGGCACCAGTTTATAATAATAATAATATGCCATTTAGCAGACGCTTTTATCCAAAGCGACTTACAGTCATGCGTGCATACATTTGTGTGTATGGGTGGTCCCGGGGATCGAACCCACTACCTTGGTGTTACAAGCGCCGTGCTCTACCAGTTGAGCTACAGAGGACCACGGTTTCACTCTAGGACGTTGGTAATAACAGTTGTCACTGGGAAGTGAAAAAGGTTCTTACTTGCAGGGGTCAGAGACGTGGGGTCCGATCATCACCACCAGCTTCCTGGTTGTCTTGTGGTTCCTCAGGGACTTGCCCAGCACCATGGCTCCCCTGGCATAGCTGTCATTGGTGGCCAGCGTCACAAAAGCCTGGTCTGGATGGGGGACAGAACGTATTAATAACAACTTGGAAATGAGCAGTTTGTTTAGGTTCAAATGGTGTGAATCCATCAGCGGTAAATTTACTTAATTGCTATAACCTACTCCAGGGGTAGGCAACCCTGTTCCTGGAGTGCCGCAGGTACTGCAGGATTTTGTTCCAACTAGGCACCACACCTGACCAACTGAGCTGATTGATCAGTGATTGCCTAAATTCGACACACCTGGTCTTCCAGGTCGGATAAATCCAAACGTGAAGCGCCCGAGGCACTCCAGGACCAGGGTTGCATAAACCTGCCCTACACTATTCAAACCTTCCCAAAACAACAGCTACGTCAGGCATGACGGAACGTTCCATCTCATAACTGCGGTATCAAAACAAAAGCCTTAGTGTTCATTTATATGGTCGCTGGAGAAAAGACCGTAACAGATGACTTCAGTGAGGGAATTATGGCAGTTGTTTTAACAATGTCAGCACGCCACACAGAATGGCCAAGGGCTTGACGTCAACTTTGCCATACAGGAAAATCTATAAAATTGCCCATGAACTCAAGTATCAACAATGGATTGATTGTAATGCAAAAGGACAAAATAGAATCATGTTATTATAATGCCAAATCTAAACCCTGGCAGTTAATATCAGCAGTCTTGACTAGTCAGTAAAACAATAGTAACGCCAGTTGGTCCAGAACAATCCCCTGGGTATAGTAACACCAGTTGGTCCAGAACAATCCCCTGGGTATAGTAACACCAGTTGGTCCAGAACAATCCCCTGGGTATAGTAACACCAGTTGGTCTAGAACAATCCCCTGGGTATAGTAACGCCAGTTGGTCCAGAACAATCCCCTGGGTATAGTAACGCCAGTTGGTCCAGAACAATCCCCTGGGTATAGTAACGCCAGTTGGTCTAGAACAATCCATCAAGTTAGCTTCTATGAACGGGCTACAGAAAGACGATAGCCTTTAGGCCTCAACCTACTGAAAAACATATATAAAACGCAACAAAGTGTTGGTCCCATGTTTCATGAGCTGAAAAAAAATTATAATCCATAAACATAAAAAAGCTTTTCTCTAAAATGTTGGCCACAAATTTGTTAACATCCCTGTTATTGAGCATTTCCCCTTTGACAAGATAATCCATCCACATGACAGGTGTGACATATCAAGAAGCTGATTAAAACGGCATGATCATAACACCTTGTGCTGAGGACAATAAAAGGCCAATTAAAATGTGCGGTTTTGTCACAACACAATGCCACAGATATCTCAAGTTGAGGGAGCATGCAATTGGCATGCCGACTGCAGAAATGTCCACTAGAGCTGTTGCCAGATAATTTATTGTTCATTTCTCTACCATAAGCCGCCTCCAACATTGTTTTAAAGAATTTGGCAGTATGTCCAAATGGCCTCACAACTGCAGACCACGTGTATGGCGTTGTGTGGGCGAGCGGTTTGCTGATGTCAACGTTGTGAACAGAGTGCCCCATGGTGGCGGTGGGGTTATGGTATGGGCAGGCATAAGCTACGGACAACGAACACAACTGCATTTTATTCATGGCAATTTGAATGGATAGAGATACCGTGACGAGATCCTGAGGCCCATTGTTGTGCCATTCATCCGCCGTCATCACCTCATGTTTCAGCATGATAATGCACAGCCCCATGTCGCAAGGATCTGTACACAATTTCTGGAAGCTGAAAATGTAAGTTCTTCCATGACCTGCATACTCACCAGACATGTCACCATTGAGCATGTTTGGGATGCTCTGGATTGATGTGTACGACAGCGTGTTCCAGTTCCCGCCAATATCCAGCAACTTCACACAGCCATTGAAGAGTGGGACAACATTCCACAGGCCACAATCAACAGCTGATCAACTCTATGAGAAGGAGATGTGTCGCGCTGCATGAGGCAAATGGTGGTCATACCAGATACTGACTGGTTTTCTGATCCACGCCCCTACCTTTTTTCTTGTTCAGGTATCTGTGACAAACAGATGCATATCTCTATTCCCAGTCATGTGAAATCCATAGATTAGGGCCTAATGAAATCATTTCAATTTACTGATTTCCTTAAATGAACTGTAACTCAGTAAAATCTTTGAAATTGTTGCGCTCCTATTTTTGTTCGTTATAGAGGAAGATTTAATATCATCGCCACTCTTAGAAAGGCAGATGACCAAGGGATGACTTGCAACTTTCAGAAATCCTGTGGACAGACAGGACGTCACCTTTCACTATTGAAATTTTGCCAGAAACATTTATAACTGTCATATTAGAGTGCACTGTGCAATACCTTCAGAAATATAATATCACATCAACAGAGTAAAAGGTACTTAAAGTTTTGAAGTTTAGAGAGTCAGGAAATTAGGACATTGAGTTTAACATGGAACACTAATTCAATGAATAAATGATACTTCTAGCGGTCTACAGAGATGCGGCCACTAGGCACAGAGCGCAGCCTACGTGCAAATATGTTTCTACTAGGACGAGACTGATGGTGCTGTCAAGACAACTGGGAACTCGGACAAATAAGAGGTCAAATCATGACCTAAGAGATCTTTAGGTCGGAAAGTAGGTACTCTAGAACGAGGTCTGAGTTCCCGACTTGGAATTCCGAGTGGGATGACCGTTCAAAACGATTTTTCCCAGTCGGAGCTAGTTTTTCGAGTTCCCAGTGGTCTTGAAAGCACTGAAGTCAGAGATTTCCGAGTTTCCAGTTGTTTTGAACGCGGCATGATCAACAGCAAAGCACAATGACCCGACAATTACTCCGTGATCCACACAATTACATCCGCAAAACGTGTATTGATAAGATCGTATTAGAAAACCAACAATGTTACAAAAATATGCGCTAATGGAAAGTGGAAAAGAGACTCAATTTTAAAATGTCAGCATTGCCACTTTCGTGTTCTTCAGTCAACGACTGCACTTCCTTGATATTAAACAAACCCCCAAAAAATGGTGACCAAACCGAGCTGTAGGTTTGTCATCCCCATCATGTAGGCCAACATACCAATTGTTACAGTTGGGATACTTTGTACCACACTGATTGACAGTCGGAACAATCATTAATAGTTACTTAGTTTCCCCCCGTGGCTGCCACGGCGAAACTTCAACCACATCGTCCAAGGATAAGATTGTAACAAAATGTCACGTACCTTTTGCCATGATTCTATTAGAAATCGCAGCTACTCTGTTAATGGACTCTCGGACACGACGGCTTACTTGGAGAAAGGACAAACTTAATATAAGGAGGAGAATTTATAGACGCATGAAGGACAACAGTCGTTAGACAGCTGCTCACATGACCCGGTCTAGGCACACACCCACTTCTTTAACACATGCGTCATAGAGCACAACCACACACTCTCTCTCTCTCTCTCTCTCTCTCTCTCTCTCTCTCTCTCTCTCTCTCTCTCTCTCTCTCTCTCTCTCTCTCCCCCCCCCCCTCTCTCTCTCTCTCTCTCTCTGTCTCTCTCAATTTCAATTTCAATTTCAATTTTAAGGGCTTTATTGGCATGGGAAACGTGTGTTAACATTGCCAAAGCAAGTGAAGTAGATAGTAAACAAAAGTGAAATAAACAATAAATATTAACAGTAAACATTACACTCAGAAGTTTCAAAAGAATAAAGACATTTCAAATGTCATATTATGTATATATACAGTGTTGTAACAATGTGCAAATAGTTAAAGTACAAATGGAAAATAAATAAACATAAATATAGGTTGTATTTACAATGGTGTTTGTTCTTCACTGGTTGCCCTTTTCTTGTGGCAACAGGTCACAAATCTTGCAGCTGTGATGGCACACTGTGGTTTTTCACCCAGTAGATAAGGGAGTTTATCAAAATTGGGTTTGTTTTCGAATTCTTTGTGGATCGCTGTAATCTGAGGGAAATATGTGTCTCTAATATGGTCATACATTTGGCAGGAGGTTAGGAAGTGCAGCTCAGTTTCCACCTCATTTTGTGGGCAGTGTGCACATAGCCTGTCTTCTCTTGAGAGCCAGGTCTGCCTACGGCGACCTTTCTCAATAGCAAGGCTATGCTCTCTCTCTCTCTCTCTCTGTCTCTCTCTCTCTCTCTCTCTCCCCTCTCTCTCTCTCTCTCTCTCTCTCTCTCTCTCTCTCTCTCTCTCTCTCTCTCTCTCTCTCTCTCTCTCTCTCTCTCTCTCTCTCTCTCTCTCTCTCTCTCTCCCCTAAAGGTCTGCTGGTTATATTGGTTCTAAACTATGTCATGTACCCTGCCTACTTCCTCCATGTTTCGATCATAGGCCTTTATGTTCAGAATGCCAGATTTGTATTTGTCCCATGCGCTGAATACAACAGGTGTAGACTTTACCGTGAAATGCTCACTTACAGGCTCTTAACCAACAATGGAGTTTTAAGAAAAATAAGAGTTAAGAAAAATATTTACAAAATAAACTAAAGTAAAAACATAAAAGCGCAACAATAAAATAACAATAACGAGGCTATATACAGGGGGTACCGGTACCGAGTCAATGTGCGGGGGTACAGGTTAGTCCAGGTAATAATGAGGCTATATACAGGGGGTACCGGTACCGAGTCAATATGCAGGGGGGGGTACAGGTTAGTCCAGGTAATAAGGGGCGATAAAAGGGGGGGTTAACGGCCCCCCCCCCCAGGTAACTTTTAAAGGGGGGGACATTTTTAGTCCGGGTTTAATAATGAGGCTATTACGGGGGGGTTAACCGGGGGTACCGAGCAAGGTGGGGGTAAGGTTAGCCCCCGGGTAATAATGAGGCTATATTAAAGGGGGGTACCGGTACCGGGCCCAATAACCCCTTTTATCAGGGGGTCCCCGGTTTCCCCCGGGTCAATGTGGGGGGAAAAAGGGGGTTATAGAGGAAAGGAGGAAATATGACTTTTAAAGGTGGGGAAAAGGGGGATTTTGTGCAAATATAAAATAGAGGTAGCAGCAGCAAAAAAAAGGGGGGGGGGGGTTCAATGAAAATAATACCCTATATATAAAGGTTTTGGGGGGTTAAACAAGGGAAGGGGACATTTTAAATTGAATAAAAAAGGTGTGTACAGCAGTAGTTATATAGGATGAACCATGACTAGAATACAGTATATACATATTCCAAGATGGCGTAGCAGTGCGGTCGCTTTTATTCATTGTCCTTGTGTAAATATCCCGTTTCTTGTTATTTTGTCTATTTTTGTATATATTTCTCAATTTTTACTTTTCATTCTTTAACTAAATATACTTCTCTGCAACCCGCCTCACCCAACGTGGAAAGGATTCTATTATTTCTTTATAACTTTCATCAAGAACCTTAAGCTTGAAACTAGTGTAGCTAGCGTAGCTGCAACTGAATGGCTACTTACTATTAGTCACCGTTAGCGTCTTCACCACTGTCCTTGGCCTACACTATCCACCAGCCAGCTCTAGCTCTAGCCTGGACAATTCGTCGGCCAGTCTGCACAGCGTGCTATCGACCCAGAGCTTATTGGACTTTCTGCCGGAATCACTGGACCCTAGCGCCGGATCATCGCAACCAGCTAGCTAGCTGCAACCTGTTGTTGGCTAATTACCATTGCCCTATAGCAAGCACCAGTTAGCCTTGAGCTAGCCTCAGGCCCATCTCCTGGCTATCTACCTCTCTGTCAACCGGACGGGACCTCCTAGTGTTGACACTGAGCCCCGCCGATCCAACACGACTGGTTTGTCGACGAAATAGTCTGATGTGGTTTCAACAGGCTTCCCGTTGCGACGACCACGAAGATCCATCTGCCAGCCCCGGCCTGATGCCTGCTGGACTGTTCCTTTACACGGTACCCTGACCTGTTTATTCTGTTTAGCCTTAGCCCAAACGTTATCGCTATTTCCAGTTGTTGTCTTAGCTCTCTCTAATAACACCTGTGACTGCTTTATGCCTCTCTCTTGCCTTGCCTATTGCTGTTTGGGTTAGTTCTTATTATACAATTTCACTGTAGAACCCCTAGTCCCTCTCAAACTGCCTCAAATAGTTCCTTTGTTCCACCCCCCATACACGCCGAGACCGGCTCAATCGGTGCCTCCAGTGACGCTATCTCTTTCATTGTTACCCAACGCTTAGGGTTACCTGAACTGTACTCATATCCTTCCATATCCTTTTCTGTACATAATGCCCTGAATCTTTTCTACAATGCCCGGAGAACTTCCCCCTTTATTCTATGTACCCAACGCACTAGAAGACCAGTTCTTAAAGCCTTTAGTCATATCCTTATTCTAGTCCTCCTCTGTTCCTCTGGTGATGTAGAGGCTAACCCAGGCCCTGCAGCCCCCAGTATCACTCCTACTCCCCAGGAGCTATCATTTGTTGACTTCTGTAACCGTAAAAGTCTTGGTTTTCTGCCACGTAAATATCAGAAGCCTCCTTCCTAAGTTTGAGTTATTCACTGCGTTAGCACACTCCGCCAACCCTGATGTTCTAGCAGTGTCTGAATCCTGGCTTAGGAAGGCCACCAAAAATTCTGACATTTCCATCCCCAACTATAACATTTTCCGTCTAGATAGAACTGCCAAAGGGGGTGGAGTTGCAATCTACTGTAGAGATAGCCTGCAGAGCTCTATCATACTATCCAGGTCTGTGCCCAAACAGTTTGAGCTTCTACTTCTAAAAATCCACCTTTCCAGAAATAAATCTCTCACTGTTGCCGCTTGCTACAGACCCCCCTCAGCCCCCAGCTGTGCCCTGGACTCCATATGTGAATTGATTGCCCCCATCTATCCTCAGAGTTCGTACTGCTTGGTGACCTAAATTGGGATATGCTTAACACCCCGGCCATCCTACAATCTAAACTAGATGCCCTCAATCTCACACAAATTATCAACGAACCTACCAGGTACAACCCTAAATCCGTAAACATGGGTACCCTCATAGATATCATCCTGACTAACTTACCCTCTAAATACACCTCCGCTGTCTTCAACCAGGATCTCAGCGATCACTGCCTTATTGCCTGCGTCCGTAACGGGTCCGCGGTCAAACGACCACCCCTCATCACTGTCAAACGCTCCCAAAAACACTTCAGCGAGCAGGCCTTCCTAATTGACCTGGCCCAGGTATCCTGGATGGATATAGATCTCATTCCGTCAGTAGAGGATGCCTGGTTGTTCTTTAAAAGTAATTTCCTCTCAATCTTAAATAAACATGCCCCATTCAAAAAATACAGAACTAAGAACAGATATAGCCCCTCGTTCTCCTCAGACTTGACTGCCCTTGACCAGCACAAAAACATCCTGTGGCGTACTACTGCATTAGCATCAAATAGCCCCCGCGATATGCAACTTTTCAGGGAAGTTAGGAACCAATATACACAAGCAGTTAGGACAGCAAAGGCTAACTTTTTCAAACAGAAATTTGCATCCTGTAGCACTAACTCCAAAAAGTTTTGGGACACTGTAAAGTCCATGGAAAATAAGAGCACTTCCTCCCAGCTGTCCACTGCACTGAGGCTAGGAAACACTATCACCACCGATAAATCTACAATAATCGAGAATTTCAACAAGCATTTTGCTACGGGTGGCCATGCTTTCCACCTGGCTACCACTACCCCGGCCACCAGCTCTGCACCCTCCGCTGCAACTTGCCCATGCCCCCCCCGCTTCTCCTTCACACAAATCCAGACAGCTGATGTTCTGAAAGAGCTGCAAAATCTGGACCCCTACAAATCATCTGGGCTAGACAATCTGGACCCTTTCTTTCTAAAACTAGCCGCCGAAATTGTCGCAACCCCTATTACTAGCCTGTTCAATCTCTCTTTCGTAACGTCTGAGATCCCCAGAGATTGGAAAGCTGCTGCGGTCATCCCCCTCTTCAAAGGGGGTGACACTCTAGATCCAAACTGTTACAGACCCATATCCATCCTAACCTGCCTTTCAAAAGTTTTTGAAAGCCAAGTCAACAAACAGATCACCGACCATTTCGAATCCCACCGTACCTTCTCCGCTATGCAATCCGGTTTCCGAGCTGGTCATGGGTGCACTTCAGCCACGCTCAAGGTCCTAAACGATATTATAACCGCGATCGATAATAGACAGTACTGTGCAGCCGTTTTCATTGACCTGGCCAAGGCTTTCGACTCTGTCAACCACCGCATTCTTATTGGCAGACTAAATAGCCTTGGTTTCTCAAATGACTGCCTCGCCTGGTTCACCAA